GAGGATCAAATACTGTCAGACTCCCTCACAGTCAATCAAGAGAGGATCAGTCAACACCAGACTCACACGTGACAACTGCAGCAGCCTGCTGATGGCAAGACCATCCATCTCTGTGACTGCTGTCCGATCAATGGTGATACACAGACCATTTTTTTTAGATACCAGTGACTGACGTCCATGGCAGACGCTAACTGTCAATGGGACTACCCCCAGGACTCCAGACACTAGAGTGACGATCTCCATTACTCCAGACATAAGTAGGACGACCCCCATTACTTCAGACATCAGTGGGACGACCCCCATTACTGCAGACATCAGTGGGACGACCCCGATTACTCCAGACATCAGTGGAATGATTCCCATTACTTCAGATATCAGTACGACGATCTCCATTACTCCAGACATAAGTGGGACGACCCCATTACTCCAGACATCAGTAGGACGACCCCCAAGACCCCAGATGACTCTCAGTGGGAGGACACTAACGAGCATCTCGAGCAGATGAGACGCGGATGCTGCTGACTGGCATCTTGAGCCTCTTTAAGGATCAAATTCTCCGTAAACTAAGTGACTTAATACCTCTAAAAAACAAATATACTTACTGATCATTATCCCAGATTAAAAAGAAAATGCACACGCGCCTATTTGGAGAATTTATTGAAATAAATGTTCCGGGATTAGTGTGTTTATTCCCGTATTTATAGATCCAAGGTCGTCTTAGAGACCAGCTGAGATTTTTATGCTTTTGGGCACCAGTGCACACAACACACACATATACACACACATACACACATACACACACATACACACACACACATACACACACACATATACACACACACATACACACACACACACACACACACACACACAACACAAAACACACACACACACCCCCATACACCACCACACACACACACACACACACACACACACAACACACACACATACACACACACACACACACACACACACACACACATCAACACACACATATAAAAAAACACACACACACACATACACCAAAA